AAAAAAAATAATAATAATAATAAAATAAAGCTTATCTTTCCAAAGAGGCCAAGCCCTCACCACATTTTATAGAAAGCAAAGCAGCTTATTTACATTGTAAAGCACAGAAAAAGAATGTGGGCTTGCTCGTGGCTCACTTGGGAGAGCGTGGTGCTGACAACACCAAGTCAAGGGTTAAGATCCCTTTTCTGGTCATCTTTTAAAAAAAAGAAAAGAGGGCCGGCCTGTGGCTCACTCGGTAGAGTGCGGTGCTGATAGCACCTAGGCCACGGGTTCGGATCCTATATAGGGATGGCCGGTTGGCTCACTGGCTGAGCGTGGTGCTGACAGCACCAAGCCAAGGGTTGAGATCCCCTTACCGGTCATCTTTTAAAAAAAAGAAAAGAAAAGAAAAGAAAATGAAAAAGAATGCAAGCCTTTTCAAGGAATTTGTTTGTGTCAGAGGAGACACAAAGAAAGACTTTTTAAAAATGGATGCCAAGGCCAAACAAAATCATAGAACTCCACCATAGGATTTTATAAGGAAATACATAGGTAAGTCTAGAAGAAAATTTAGAAGTCTGTTTAAATTAACTACGTGAATGCCAGAAAGCCATACTTTGGAGACCATCTAGTCAGACAGGTCACTTTTAATTTAGTTTCTGTCTCTTACCTGGGTTAATGAGCTAAGGGCAGAATCAATTAACAAATACAGTCCAACCCATTCAACTCTTGGGGCTACCAGAGGAAGGCAGCAGATGCAAAAATAGGTCAGTTGGCATTCCATGGCTGTGTTTCTCATGAGGCCTTGTTGGAGTGAGCAGGACTGAAGTCAAGCGGAGACCTAAAACCACATGGGCTAGGGAGGGGAGTGTGAGAAATGCCCTCACCCATCCAATGCCAAAGGATGGACCCGGAGACACAAGGTATGGCAAAGCAAGACTTTAGTGGCAATCTTGCAAGATCAGATGTCTGATGGGCAGGCACACCTGAAATGATTACATTGAGCAATTTATTCCCTAGTGCACAAGTCCCTCCCCAAGTTCCTCATTGTCTGAGTACTATGGGGTGCACAATCTTCCCAAATGCCGCTGAAGTTTCATTATTTCCTTATAAGGTATTTATTGTTCACTTCCTGCTGATGGAAAGGGATGGACTCAACACAAGCCCACAAAAAAGGCCCACCAAAAAGTCCTGAGCAGGGAGAAGAACCAGGAAATGAAAAGAACAAAGGGCTGGTGACCAGACCATCTTGAGAAGTTATTTCTCAAAGGTGACGTGCTGTTTCAGTGACTTTCCAGGAATGTGCATTCTCTGGGGTTGTCATATGTATAAGCTGGTTAAGCAGCTTTTTTAAGGATATTCTTGAAAATGAATCACTTCAGCTATTTTCTTACAAGGAGGGGTAGATTTTTAAAATGAAGTTTTTTTTTTCCTCTGCACTCTTTCTTCCCACTCCCTGACATTCTTATCTTGCTTGTTAAACAGGAGAACAAGGCTTAGAAGTTAATCAGAACTTTGCAAAGCTAATAGTTCTTTTTTTGAGACTTGCAGAGTTTTGAGAAGTGATCAAGGCCAAATGACTGGAAGCCGACCTTGGGCACCAACCAGGTCAAACAGAGCTCTGCGAAGTGAAACTACACAAAAGACTTTGCAGAAGAGTTAATTCTATTCCAGAGCAAATCAAAATCTTAAAGGGTCCTAAGATAGTGAAGATGAGAACAAAAACCAGATGAGGCTTTGGCGAGACCTTGTACCTAACTCATAGACACAGACCCCTCATAGCTTATGTCTTCTCTCCTGCTTTTCATTTCCCACGTTCCATTCTCTGAACCTTTTCTTTAAAAATCCCTCAGTAAACCTGAGTCTTTGAGATGACTTTAGCCTGGCCATTCTCCTTCAGGTTTACTGGAGAGATGGGTTAGCCTAACATCTCTCCTCAGGTCACTTGTATTCCTGAATAAAAGCTGACTTCCATTTTCCCCAATGTTTGACTTTTGAGTGGTTTGCTTTTTTCTGGGGTCAGGCAGCTGGACCTGTGAGTTTGGCATCAATTTGGGGGAGTCTCAGCCAGGAGCTGAGTGGCCCTTGTAACAGCCTCAGAGCCTTTGGCAAAAACACCAACAAGAGAAGCATATAGAGGGAATGCACAGTTAATAGTGAAAGAAAGTGAGCCGAGATGCCGGGTATCGTTCAAGCTTTATTAAAGGAAAAGAATCCACTGGGCTGTGCCAAAAGTGGGGAACAGCCCAGGGCTGCCCTCAAAATGGAAGTCAGCATCAGGTATGGGGGTGGCAGATCTTATATAGAGCACCAAGGGCTGGCTGATACCATCAAGGAGGAGCATCATGCTAATGTAGAAACTATGCAACTGGGGTGGGGGATTGTGCCCTTGCAGAAGCAAAAGGGTTTCTGTTTAAGTCACGAGGCTTCTTGTAAAGGGAAGAGGGGAGGGGTTTGGTGCTGGAGTGGAAGACAAGACCGGCGGCTATTTTGTGCTTATTGTGTGCACAATGGCACTGGTCATGACCAAAATCCATCACAAAGAGGTTCAAGAAAGGGGGTTCTGTCGACAAAATAGTTCCTTTGGGGAGAAGCAAAAATCCACTGAGAGAAACGGAGGCCTAAAAGAAAATATAGGAGGTTATGGAGGAGGGGAGGCGGGAGCCTGAGGTGGTTCCAGGTTGTGGGGTGGGGGTTGGCAAGTGAGATCAGTTAATATGTCTCTTTGGTTTACAGGCCTAGCCCTATCCTGTCTCAGACAGAGGATGGCTGATTGAGAAGGTGAGATTTGAACAAAGACGTGAGGAGTGAGGGTGTGAGCCAAGCAGACACCTGGGGGAGGAGCCATCCCAGAAGAGGACACAGCTGGAATTTCCCTAGGGGAATGTGCCTGGAATGTTTGAGAAACTGTTTAAGGCCAGTGTGTCTGGAGCAGTGAGCATGGTGGGGAGAAGGGCAGTGAGGGTAGACACAGTAGGGGGAAGATCATACAGGCCTTGAAGCATCACTGTAAGGACTTGGGCTTGGTAAATAAAAATTGTAGGAGGCCATTGTTTCAGATTAACCTCCTGCACTAGTCCCCCAACAGACCAGACCAAACCAAAATGGAGTCACTCATTAAAATTTCACATCAACAAACAAAACCTAAGTTATCTGACTTTCAGAGAAATTGGGAGGGACAGATAACAGCCAAATTCCCAAACAGGCTGCTTTCAGTCTGCATGATAATGATGTTTTAATCCTTACAAAAAGTAACTCGAAGTAACCTGATATTAACTACCCTGTTCCTGCCTTCCAAGGATAATAACTTTGAAATGACCAATCCTCTTTTTTTTCTGTTTCTGCTTTCTTCAGCCCTTTTCTGTCTATAAAACCAAACTCATCTGCTCAGTTCATTAGAACACTCATTCTATTTTATGGAAGGAAGTGTTGCCCAATTCTAGAATCACAAATAAAGCCAATCAAGATCTTTAAACTAAATTTGTTGTTTGTCTTTTAACAGCTGCTACACTGTGGGGGGTGTTGTGATCGCTCTGGCTGCTGGGTGCAGATTAGACCATAGGAGAGAGAGATGTAGGAAGCACAGAGGCCACTTGGGAAACTATTGCAGCACTTCAGGCAGCAGAGTGTGGTGTCCTGGCAGCAAGTAAGGAAAGTGGAGAAAGAAGGTAAGAGTGAGGGCCAGCCCGTGGCTCACTCGGGAGGGTGCGGTGCTGATAACACCAAGGCCACGGGTTCGGATCCCATATAGGGATGGCCGGTTTGCTCACTGGCTGAGCGTGGTGCTGACAACACCAAGCCAAGGGTTGAGATCCCCTTACCGGTCATCTTTTTAAAAAAAAAAAAAAAAAAGAAATGCAACATCCTTGGGCCCCACTGCAACCTATTTAACCAGAAACTCTGAGGTAAAGCCCAGCAATCTGTGTTTTAACAAGTCTTACAAGAGAATCACTGCTTTAAAAGTTCTTTTCTAGCCCAAGAACTGAGATTTTTGTAATTGAAACCATAACTCTTACCAACCCTGGCAAGAAAAGTCATGAGGAAAAACTAGAAGAGAAAATGGCCCCAAAGAGCCCAAGAAGTATTTCCTGAACTAGTGATTAGACCACCTGACATTTCTGGTATGATGTCCACTGCATAATATGCCATATACTTCATTCAAGTAGGCTCAGTAAACTAAACATTTCCTAAATAAATTTCAAATTCACAAGGAACTAAATCTGCCCCTACCTGCAACACTTTCTTTTTGCACAGAAATCAAATTTCAGATTTATTCTGGTGCTACTTGGGGGTTCAGCCTTACTCTTAACTATGAGAGTACTTCAAAAAGTTTGTGGCGGGCCGGCCCATGGCTCACTCGGGAGAGTGCGGTGCTGATAACACCAAGGCCCCGGGTTCGGATCCCATATAGGGATGGCCGGTTTGCTCACTGGCTGAGCGTGGTGCTGACAACACCAAGCCAAGGGTTGAGATCCCGTTACCGGTCATCTTATTAAAAAAAAAAAAAAAATTTGTGGAAAAATACAATGAAAAGATAATATGAATTTTTTTTTTAATAAG